AGCTGACTGCAGGACTTCTCTTTGCACCAGCTGACTGCAGGACTTCTCTTTGCACCAGCTGACTGCATGACTTCTCTTTGCACCAGCTGACTGCAGGACTTCTCTTTCCACTAGTTGGTTGCAGGACTTCTCTTTGCACCAGCTGACTGCAGGACTTCTCTTTGCACCAGCTGACTGCAGGACTTCTCTTTGCACCAGCTGACTGCAGGACTTCTCATTTCACCAGTTGACTGCAAGACTTCTCTCTTCACCAGCTGACTGCAGGATTTCTCATTCCACCAGCTGACTGCAAGACTTCTCTTTTCACCAGTTGACTGCAGGACTTCTCTTTGCACCAGTTGACTGCAGGACTTCTCTTTGCACCAGCTGACTGCAGGACTTCTCATTTCACCAGTTGACTGCAAGACCTCTCTCTGCACCAGCTGACTGCAGGATTTCTCATTCCACCAGCTGACTGCAAGACTTCTCTTTTCACAAGTTGACTGCAGGACTTCTCTTTGCACCATTTGACTGCAGGACTTCTCTTTGCACCAGCTGACTGCAGGACTTCTCTTTGCACCAGCTGACTGCAGGACTTCTCTTTGCACCAGCTAACTGCAAAACTTATCTTTCCACCAGCTGACTGCAGGACTTCTCTTTTCACCAGTTGACTGCAGGACTTCTCTTTGCACCAGCTGACTGCAGGATTTCTCATTCCACCAGCTGACTGCAAGACTTCTCTTTTCACCAGTTGACTGCAGGACTTCTCTTTGCACCAGTTGACTGCAGGACTTCTCTTTGCACCAGCTGACTGCAGGACTTCTCATTTCACCAGTTGACTGCAAGACTTCTCTCTGCACCAGCTGACTGCAGGATTTCTCATTCCACCAGCTGACTGCAAGACTTCTCTTTTCACCAGTTGACTGCAGGACTTCTCTTTGCACCAGTTGACTGCAGGACTTCTCTTTGCACCAGCTGACTGCAGGACTTCTCTTTGCACCAGCTGACTGCAGGACTTCTCTTTGCACCAGCTGACTGAAGGACTTCTCTTCGCACCAGCTGACTGCAGGACTTCCCTTTGCACCAGCTGACTGCAGGACTTCTCTTTTCACCAGTTGACTGCAGGACTTCTCTTTTCACCAGCTGACTGCAGGACTTCTCTTTTCACCAGCTGACTGCAATACTTCTCTTTGCACCAGCTGACTGCAGGAATTCTCCTTTCACCAGCTGACTGCAGGACTTCTCCTTTCACTTCTTCTTCTTCTGCGTTCGATATCAGTCATGCTAAACATTGAGTCCCGTCTGGGTCACAAATAGGATTGTTCGTTTAAGGACGCCACCGGTCCCCCATAGCTTCTCTTGCAATGTGGCTCCCTTGGGCCAGATCCACAGTCTTTGCTGGGAGAGGTAAGGGCAGTACTGCAGTATGTGCTCAAGGGTATGTCTTTCTGCTCCACAATCACAGGCAGCAGATTCTTTTATGCCTATTCTGTGCAGGTGTGCTTGAAGACTACCGTGTCCGGTCCGAAGTCTAAAAATTGTTGTTTGTTCTTTCCTGTTGAGTTTGTTTATGCAATCACTCTCTGGTCTGTAATCTCCATTCTGCCTTCTCCACTACCGCTTGAAAGACTGCTTTAGCGCTGTTTTGGTTTCCTTGTAGCTGTGTAGTGGATGAGGTTGTGGAAGATTACTCCCAGCTTTTGCTAACTCATCTGCTCTCTCGTTTCCTTGAATACCACAGTGGGTTGGTATCCACTGCAAGACCAGTTCTGCTTCCTTAAATAGTAAGCCAATGTTGGTCCTTAGATCTGCAATTAGTTTGTCTTGCTTTTTGCTTGATAGTGCTTGGAGAACAGACAATGAGTCACTGAGTATAACAATTGTGTGCCCTCTGTGTTCTTGGGTGATGAGATGTTGGACTGCAGAAAGGAGGGCAGTTGCCTCAGCTCTGAAGTTAGTGCAGATGTCATCTGCTAGTAGAGAGAGAGAGTTTCTGCTCCACTGCTAGGGGGTTTGATGTATATTCCACAACTCCCCTTTCTGGCTGCATCTGTAGCAGAGCCGTCGGTGAAAACCTGAGTCCAAGTGGTGTTTGGATAATTCTCATCAAGCATAGCAAGAGCCAGGGTTCTCTGTTGTGTCTCCGTCTGGGCATCTTTTAAAGTGATCCCTGGTACCTTTAGAACTACATTTGCCTTCTCTGGCTTGCTTGTCCATGGTTCTGGCCTAAGTTTTTCGCACCGTTCTACATCTCTTTCAAGCAGATCTTGGTGCTGTCTGTACAGTTCTCTGGCAAGGTGGTTGGGGCTCTGACGCTTCAGTCTGTTTTTTGTTCTCTCTTGAAATTTAAAATGCAGTGGGTGACTTTGAAGTCTTTTTAATTTCTCATACTGTAAAAAAGTTTTGTATTGTCTTCTGAGTTCGAATGGTTCGGTATCTGCTATCCTCTCTATCTCTCTGATGGGGTGGTTTTCATGGCTCCGAGAACAATCCTTAATTCCATATTCTGAACCTTGTATAGTTTCCCCATTGTTGTCTTGGCTGCTGCAGCCCATGCAGTAGAGGCATACTCCATGACTCGCCTGACTGCTCCAGTATATTCTTGTTTTAGGATTCTGTAGTAAGCGTCCCATGTGGTACCCGCTAATTTTTTCATCACTGCAAGCTTCTTGAATGCTTTCCCCTGTACTGCTTCTACATGTGACTTCCAAGTTAGTCACGAATCAAGTGTAACGCCAAGAAAGGTAGGAGTGTCAGTCTGTGGAATGAGCTGGTTTATTATCCAAATTTCGACTTGGGGGGGGGGGGGGGGGGGGGAGAAAAGTAAAGTTGTACTTTTTGAATTATTTAGCTATAGACCCCACTTTTCGGTCCAGGCTTCTACATTTTTCACAGTTTTCTGTAACAGATATGAGGCTGTGGTAGTGTATTCGGAGGCTGTCCAAACTGCAAAGTTATCAGCATGTAGGGTATTATAAACGTTCTGGTGGCAGGTTGCTGTGATATCATTTATGTAAACCAGGAACAGAGTTGGTGCTATCGCACTGCCCTGGGGAACTCCTTCTCTTAGTTTTGCCAGTTTGCCGATGTGTCCATCATTTCTGAATCTGGCTCTGCGTTGAAAAAGAAAGTCTTTAATCCACTTGCACATGTTGTGCACAACTCTCCTTTCACTAGCTGACTGCAGAACTCAAAGCTTAAAGAATGAGCTTCCAAGACCTGTCCTTTGTGAGATACATGCAGGATTTTTAGCTCACCCCAAGTTCCCCCTCCCCCTTCCGCCCTGGAGGCACTAGCAAGTCAGTCCATTCGTTTGCTTGTATGCCAGCATGGCTTGGATAATAGAGCTACTCCAACTGAAAGACTGCCTGAAGCTCTGGGTGCAGTTAAGGGTAAGCGGCTGATAAGAGAGAGGGAGGTCATGGATGGCTCAGGCAGAAGACACAGACAGGTTTGCATCCTTGAGAACATTAGGCGAGGAGAGGGGTGGGTCAAAGTGCCACCTGAACAGTCAGACTTGTGTAGAGTCATAATAACGCTGAGCCGGGAATGCAGAGACTGGCCAGCAGGTGCCACAGAGGTGGAAATTCAGCAATTAATTCAAGATAATGCTCGCTCAGAGGATTTAATCATTTACACAGACGGTTCAATGTCAAGAGGCAAAAGAAGTGCTTAGGGCTTCTTAGCAAAAGTTAATGGTCGACGTTTGGTGCAGGAGAGCCTAGCATATGATACCACAACATCCAGCTTTAGAATGGAGGTGGAGGCGGTCACTGCAGCTTTCCGCTGGCTAGAGAACACGACACACACACACATCGTGATTGTAACTGATTCAGAAAGCATGCTGAGGGAGATCAGAACAGGTATGCTTCGTGCTGAGTGGCATGCTTCGCTGCGGAGGACACGAGTGAGGAGTATTGTCTGGATTTTTTTCACCGGGTCCCGCCGGTGTGTTGGGAAATGAACAGGCGGACAGACTGGCTGGCTCTGCACAACTTGGTGGAATACTGATACAGAGCGTGTACAATTCAGAGGAGCAGATGGATCACCAGTGTGGTGAGATTGATGCAGTTGGGGGTGACGAGAGGTTCTGGCAGAGGAAAGGCATGACGGACGTTTAATCAGAAAGCTACTGGCACCATTAGTATCAGAACTCATAAAGCCATTGTTGACTGAATCACAACAACAACAACAAAAAAAAAGCATTTGAAAGAGCACACAAAACAAACCCTACAACAATTCCCCCCCCCCCCCCAACCCTCGCCATGTTCTCCCCTATACGTTTTTCCCGGATAAATAAGATAGTGAGGACAAGAAGAAGAAAAGAAAAAAAAGGAAGCCGTTGTTATTGGCAGCAGCGGCAAAGAAGCATGACGATGGAGCCAGGCAGCTTTAAACATGGGCATGCATAGTACAGGGAACAAGACAGATCAAGTTTCCCAGGCTGACCAAGACGAGGGTTACATTTTTAAACGCTTCATTACATGACTGCAATGTTGCTGAAATATGATTCCTCTCCTGTGTGCCCCCCCCCCCCCTTTTTTTTTTCAACCTGGGAGTTTTGCTTTCGTGGTATCCTTACTGTCCAATCTGCCTGTGTGGTTCCCCATCCCTTTCTTTCTGTCTTTCTTTCTTTCTTTCTTTCTTTCTTTCTTTCTTTCTTTCTTTCTTTCTTTCTTTCTTTCTTTCTTTCTTTCTTTCTTTCTTTCTTTCTTTCTTTCTTTCTTTCTTTCTTTCTCTCTCTATCTCTCTCTCTCTGAGGTTTCCTTGCTGTCTGACCCTACTCTCTTCCTAGTTTGGTACCTCTACTCCCCCCCCCCCCTTTTTTTGTATGCACGTGTGCTACCCTATCCTCTATATGTGTACCCCTATTGCTCCTTTTACCCTTATGACCCCTGACCCGGAAGCAAGAATCGAGGGGAGCTCACGTCTGCATGAAAAACCAAAATGAGAAGGTGAATGTGGATGTGATCTCTCTCATTGATCGGCGGGCCACGATCACTCGCTAGTTCACACACAGTATGGCATCAGTGTCGCCTGACCACGGTAAGCATCTTTTGTTGTCTTTCTCAAGCTGGGCGACCACGTCGCTCTACAAACATCGATCCACACCCCATGCAGTTCGACCGCTGATCCACCCCATAGCGCATCTTCTCTGTCAACGGCCCGTGGCGACCTATCTTTCTTTCCTTCCTTCATCACTTTAACTCTCTCTTTCTTGCGCTCTCCCTCTCTTCTTCCCACCCGTTTCCTTCCCATCCTCTTCCTCCCCATCCTCTTTCTCCTCCCCCTCATTCATTGTCTTAGCTTTTATAAAACTTACAGCCTCCCCCAAACCTTTTTGTCTTGAGTTATATAACATGACAGGTCAATAACGATTATGATTATCATGATATCCACGAGTACCAAATCATCATAGACGCCTTTAGATCTCATTTAATTTTCCTATGAATGATACCTTGATCTGGTTCAGCTGGTTAAGTTTATATTAGGATCATTTAGAATATGAAATAGTTAATATAGCATACATTTGCCAATGCGGTGGACTTCTTGTAGTGATTATTACAGTGTCTAACACTCATTCTCATTGATGGCTCTCCTCCGAACTTCGGCCCCATATTATGGCGGCCAAACAAATACCCTAACAGGGTCTCAGTCATGTGTAAAATGCAGAGCGCCTGCCGAGGAACAAATCGCCACAAAACTAGGATTCCCTCTGAATAACCGGCCAATATTATTGAGGGCAAACAAACACTCTAACAGGGTTTCAGCGATATGTTAATTGCGGACCTGTTTCTGCCTCTATGCTGCACCGCTTACAGTATCAGCCACGCCGCTACGCGCAGATGGCGGCAAAACTAGATGGCTGGGACTCACAAGCAAATAATTTGGAGGAAGTTGCCGGAGATGCGGTAGCTGCTGCTCGTGAGACCCAGCCATCTAGTTTAGCTCCCATCCGCGCCACTAAGCGCGATGCCAGGGATACGCTCAGCTGTGAGTTTAATCGAAAGAACACTAACGCTAACCTGCATCGGAGCACGTGGTCTTGCCGCTATGTTGCTATTATCGTGTGTATTGTTGCGTTTCTGGAAATTGTCAACGGATAGTAATCTTAGGTTTGCCATGATGTGTTCGTAGGAGGAAGTCCACATTTGACACATGACTGAGGCCCTGTTAGGGTATTTGTTTGGCCGCCATAATATTGGGACGAAGTTTGAAGGAAAGCCATCATTTTAAATTATCAATCTAGACCATCCTTTGAAGTTTAAATCAGTCTAGGACCCGAAAAAGGGGGTGGGATGAGGCATTTTGGTTAACTCTCAATATGTTGTCCCCTCTTTAATAATCCAGTGGCCATATTCACTGGCAAACAGAAGAGTTTGAGCGGTATGTGAGGTCATACAACTTGTAACTGTTACATGAGATGAGAAATGCTGTTCTTCAGACTGTTTTCTTTGCTTTAGGTTGCTTATCTGTTGTTATCACTGATCCTAGATAATTGAATCTGTCTACTGTTTCAGTGTTACTGTCTGGATGTTTCAGTGTTACTGATTCGCTGTCACATTACTATTTGTTTCAGTGTTACCAATTCGCTGTCATGTTACTGTCTGGTTGTTTCAGTGTTACTCCTTTGCTGTCACATTACTTGTTGCTTATATTAATATTGATTGGTCATGGTCTTAGTAATTGTGTGTTCCATTTTACTGTCTGTGCCTCCGACATCTTTCTGTGTGTTTTAATAAACATTAGAGATTATAACAATAATTATAACAGATTATTGAAAACTAAGTTAAATGAAGTCTGACAAAGCAGTGTAAGAAACTTGGTAAATATGTAACAGAATCTCTAAAAGCTATTAAAACCTGTCTTTAATTTTACGGGAAATGCTGCAAAATTAAATTTTCAGCTACAATGGTCAAAAAAGTATTTTGAAACATTTGTTTTTTACATTTTATAATTTCTTCACATACACACTTTCAGGCTTAGCTGCACTGTTACCTCCATTCGCCCAGTCAGCTTCACCTACACTTGCATCTCTGCAGAGGGAAGAAGCTCAAAGGAAAGGGAGAATTGTATGTATCAGTTATTGTGTGTGCTGTGGTACAGTGGCTCTCAACCGTCATAATGCCACAACCCTTTAATACAGTTCACCATGTTGTAGTGACACCCAACCATAACATTATTTTCGTTGCTACTTCATAATTTCAGTGAATATGTGTTTTCCAATGGTCTTAGGTGACCCCTGTGAAAGGGTCATTCAACCTCCCAAAGGGATCGTAACCCACAGATTGAGTACTGCTGCTCTAGCATCTGAGAATGGTCACCACTAGAATGGCTGGATACACAGACCAAATTCTCTCCTCAAGACTCCCTTCATCGCCTTTCTAGAGAGGGACAGTGTATTATTTTCAGACTAAGGACAGGGCACAACAGATTTTTGTCAACATACAATCAAACTTTTTGGTGTAGGAAACATGCAGACATGTCGCTGTAGCGTGGCACCAGAAAATGCTGAGCTGAGCATGTGTTCCAACACTATCAACTGTATGCTGCCAGCAGAGACACAATCTGGCCTGTTCCAGCCACAATGAAGACAAAACTGTGTGGTACATGAGGAGATGTGGATTGCACGATAGTTTTCATAAAGGCTACTAGCCTCCTGATGTATGTTTTATGACAGAAGGATCGAAGAAGAAGAAGACCACCAAAATAAATAAATTTATATCATTGCTGTTAAATATTTATTCAGTACTCTGTCACTTCAGCACCTTGTCATGGCAGTGTCTATTAAAAGACAGTCTAACTGAATGTGTCATGAAGAGGAGGTGTTGTAGAATAACACTGAGATTTTGCCTCTTCAGGGTGAAGAGTTGGGGGCAGATGATGAGGATGAAAGCTGGTTGCAGGCAGCACCTTCATTCTGAGGCATATCTGTGAACTATTGAAGTGTTAAGTGCCAGACAGGGGGCTGATTGTCGGTGTCACCCCAAAGTGCCTGTGTCATTATGACCACACTATGCCTGCGTCTGTCTCACCACACACTGCCTGTGTCTGTCTCACCACACACTGCCTGTGTCTGTCTCACCACACACTGCCTGTGTCAATGTCACCACAAAGTGCTCGTTTCAGTGTCACCACATACTGCCTGTGACAGTATCACCACACACTGTCTGTGTCAGTATCACCACAAAGTGCTTGTTTCAGTGTCACCATTTACTGTCAGTGTCACCACACTCTGCCTGTGTCAGTGTCACCACACTCTGCCTGTGTGAGTCTCACCACAGAGTGCTTGTTTCATTATCACCACATACTGCCTGTGTCAGTGTCCCCACACACTGCCTGTGTCAGTATCACCACAAAGTGCTCGTTTCAGTGTCACCACACACTGCCTGTGTCAGTGTCACCACACACTGTCAGTATCCCCACAAAGTGCCTGCTTCAGTGTCAACACAGATGATGAGGATGAAAGCTGGTTGCAGGCAGCACCTTCATTCTGAGGCATATCTGTGAACTCTTGAAGTGTTAAGTGCCAGACAGGGGGCTGATTGTCGGTGTCACCCCAAAGTGCCTGTGTCATTATGACCACACTATGCCTGTGTCTGTCTCACCACACACTGCCTGTGTCTGTCTCACCACACACTGACTGTGTAAGTATCACCACAAAGTGCTCATTTCAGTGTCACCACACACTGTCAGTGTCACCACATACTGCCTGTGACAGTATCACCACAGACTGTCTGTGTCAGTATCACCACAAAGTGCTTGTGTCAGTATCACCAAAAAGTGCTTGTTTCAGTGTCACCATATACTGTCAGTGACACCACACTCTGCCTGTGTGAGTCTCACCATACTCTGCCTGTGTGAGTCTCACCACAGAGTGCTTGTTTCATTATCACCACATACTGCCTGCGTCAGTGTAAACACACTGTCAGTGTCACCACACACTGCCTGCATCAGTGTCACCACACACTGCCTGCATCAGTGTCACCACACACTGTCAGTATCCCCACAAAGTTCCTGCTTCAGTGTCAACACAGACTACCTGTGTGAGTGTCATCACATACTGCCTGTGTCAGTGTCATCACACACTGCCTGTGTCAGTTTTACCACAAAGTGCCTGTTTCAGTATCACCACACACTGCATGTGCCTGTCTCACCATACACTGCCTGTGTCTGTCTCACCACACACTGCCTGTATCAATGTCACCACAAAGTGCTTGTTTCAGGGTCACCACACACTGCCTGCATTAGTGTCACCACACACTGCCTGTGTCAGTAGCACTACAAAGTGCTTGTTTTAGTGTCACCATATACTGTCAGTGTCACCACACTCTGCCTGCGTCAGTGTCACCACACACTGCCTGTGTCAGTCTCACCACACACTGCATGTGTCAGTGTCATCACACACTGCCTGTGTTAGTGTCACCACACACTGTCTGTGTCAGTGTCAACACACACTGTCTGTGTCAGTATCACCACATACTACCTGTGTCAGTGTCACCACAAAGTGCCTGTGTCAGTATCACCACAAAGTGCCTGTTTCAGTGTTACCACACATTGCCTGTTTCAGTCTTACCACACACTGCCTGTGTCATTGTCACCACAAAGTGCCTGTTTCAGTCTCACCACATATTGCCTGTGTCAGTGTCACCACATATTGCCTGTGTCAGTGTCACCACATAGTGTCTTTCTCAGTGTCAACACACACTGTCTGTGTCAGTGTCACCACACACTGTCTGTGTCAGTGTCACCACACAGTGTCAGTGTCACCACACACTGTCTCTGTCACCACACACTGTCTGTGTCTGTGTCACCACAAACTGTCTGTGTCAGTGTCACCACACATTGCCTGTCTCATGGAAAACTGACAGAGCAGGGAGATGGTGTAGATATTGGATTCAGCTGTGAGTCATGATGTGCACAAGTTACCAGCTGTGAGTCATGATGTGCACAAGTTACCAGCTGTGAGTCATGATGTGCACAAGTTACCAGCTGTGGGTCATGATGTGCACAAGTTACCAGCTGTGACCTTGTGACTGAGGTGGTCATCTATTTGTTTCAGGTGGCAGTGGAAGGAAACATTGGCTGTGGCAAGAGCACATTCTTGAACTACTTCCGCAAATACAACAATGTTCAAGTATGTCATTTGGTTGCTGTTGCTTTATTTATGTACCCAATACAACAGTGTCATTTCTGTGTTTTTATTTTTTAATGTATTTATATAATGCCTATGACACAATTTCTCTGTTATGCTATTCATGTGTATCTGTAATTGGGGAAGAAGGAAGGGGTAGGAGAGATTTTGTGTAGTTACGTGTATATGATGAATGTTGATTGACAACCACACCTCTTGATATTATTACTTGTAGAAGATAAGAGGCCTGGCTCGTTAGCGTAGTTGGTTAAAGCTGACTTTACGGCGACCAGGTGACAAACTCCTTGTGGTCCGGCTTCACGCCCGCGGGTAGATAGAAAAGCCACATTTCTCCCATATTTACAGTACCTATCATGGAATCAAGGCCGAAGGTTGCGATATCCATAGTACCGAGCCAAAGGGTTAACACTCATGGTTTCTAGATACTTTTTTAAAAAAAAGTAAAAGACAAAAGATGAAAAGGGAATAAAGAAAGAAATGAGATGTTACTTCAAGCAGATGATAAAATTGGATAATTTTACTCCAAGCAGATGATATAATGGGATAATTTTACTCCAAGCAGATGATATGATAGGATAATGTTACTTAAAGCAGATGATCAAATGAGATAATGTTACTCCAAGCAAATGATATAAGATAATGTTTCTACAAGCAGATGATTTAATGAGATTATGTTACTCCAAGCAGGTGATATAATGAGATAATGTTGCTTCAAGCAGATGATATAATGAGATAATGTTACTCCAAGCAGATGATACTATGAGATAATGTTACTCCAAACAGATGATATAATGAGATAATGTTACTCCAAGCAGATGATATAATGAGATAATGTTACTCCAAGCAGATGATATAGTGGCAGTAAATGTTTCTCTGTCTCTGGCCAGGTATTTGAAGAACCCGTGGACAAGTGGAAAGATGTCATGGGTTACAATGCTTTGGTAAGTTGTGTGTGTTTGTGTATGTATAAATGCAGTTATTCTTGTCAGGTGTAATATTTCATGACATGACAGTGGAAAAGGTGTCCATTTAAAGTTGACCCCAAAAAAAAAGTAAACGACCCTTTTCCATGCCTTCATGCGTATTGGGCACAAAGGGCTAGACCTATATTATAAAGATGAATCAGAACTCAGTGGGTGAGGTAGTCAATAACTCGCCGGCCACCTTTACTTCCCATGACTGTACCTGGTAACCATTTGAGGCTGGATCAACCTAAAAGCCAATGTCATTTTTGAAAAAGTCTGGTTCACTCAGGACCCAAACCCATGAATTTCTGATCTGCAGGCAAGCATCTAGCTGCTAAACCACACCCCTCACCCTTCCCCCCACCCACCACTGTGTCCATTACAGTATACCAGCTCTCTTTGTCTGCCTCTCTCTCTCACAGACAAATGTCATGTACATATCTACCCATCCATCTATCCAGAGAGCAGGGGTGAGAGAGAGACTTGTGGATACACATATGCATACTAAGTTATGTCTTGTATGATTGCAGGATATGTTGTACAAAGACACCCAACGATGGAGTTGTCCCTTTGAATTCCTGGTGACCTTGTCCTTGATGGAGAATCACCGAGCTGCCCAGGTACCTTGTCAATATCTCTTTACATCAGGCTTCATCATCAGGTGCCACTGCAAGAAGTGTGGCCGATCAAAGAGTTGCACCTCACACAATCACCAGTTTTGTTTTGAAGTCAGACTTTAGTCAATTTTTGCATCTAAAAGTATCTGTTACTAAATTCCTGATTTAAAGTAGAGTATCTGTGCAGTGTCTCCAGCACACATTACAATTACTGATAATCTTATTTGTAGAAAGTATCTTCACTAGGTGAAAGAAATGGAAGAAGATCCTAAAACACTTAGAGAATTATAATTAGGGATGAGAGCCATCAAGGGAGCACCAGAGTTAGGATTGTTTGGCTAGAGTTGTTTGAGGGCCAGAGCTTCATGTGTGATAAAGGGCAGAAAAAAAGTAGAAGTGGATGTGTAAGCGGGAAAAGGTCTGGTTATCCCCAGTAACTTTCATTTAGCAGCCTTGTAAAACTTGTCCCTATCTTTGCATGATAGACAGTGTCCGAACCAATACTGTGAGACCCCCCTGTCGTATGGCAGTTTCGTCACGTACCTTTATTTCCGGATTACTTTCCCAAAATTCCCAGGTACTCTGAGATAGGGGTATTCTGAATTGTGGCACTCGTTTGTCTAGAGGCCAAGTCCTCGGTTCAAACATCCATTCAGCATATCTCAGGAATGAGGTGACTCGAGCTCTGACTCCTCAGGGTTAATAAAACTCTTGGGTACCACTCGGCCAGGCATCCTCATTACTAATTTTGCCCCCACACTGGTAAATGACGTTAACACAGTCGAATATTTAAACAACAGTTGATTAGACAAGACATTATTGTCATCTCAACGACCACAAGTAACTAAATCAACTCAATTTTGTTCAATAACAAGAAAACTTCTGAACAAAGATCATAGTGTAATAGAATGCTAAAACATTAAGAGACATCTTCCACTAAAACAGAACGAAAATTCAACTTGAATTCGCAGAACTAGAATCAACAGACAGGTCTCCTTCAGATGCAACCAACAGATTCTTTTTCATCCCTGCACTGAGAGAGAAGCAAGATAGCTCGAGGTTCGAGAGCGGAGTTCGTCACTATTCCTTGCAGATTACTGGACAGCTTATGGAAGTCCTCAAGCGTCTCAGCAACACAGGACTGTAGAGCTCTATGTTTTCTTGACTCTCCACACCCTGCGTGAAGTGATAATTCTCATCTCATGTAACAAACGGAAGGATCGATTCATCTCTCATTGACGTTCGCTGGTGTCTACCTCAACATTCAGACCACATACTTGTTAATAATTGCTCGACTTCTTCTGTGAAGTAACTCGGGCGTGGTTAGCAGTACGATACAATGTTACCTGATGCTCAGGCACTCTAAATTTACACGGGCGACATAACGATGCTGCTCGAATAGACAGGATGGTGGTCGAAAGGATAGTCCGACTATAGCTTTGACACTTGTTGGATTCCCAAAATGGACCCCAAAAGCTTTTTCAAACGCTGAGTTTGGTTTGGTTACATTAGCTCCTAGCAACGGCGGATGTGACGTCATGCTTTCCTAGAATATCGCTGCCCATTCTCAACGGTCAACCAATTCATCAAGTTAAGAGACCAATTAAAAGATCATATCAGAACTTACAAGTTTCTCAAGACATTAATTACACTCCAGACACGTGGATTGATCGATCCGAATAGGTTTAGAATGCAGGCTAGAAGAAATTTCAGCCGAAAGTGCATTCACTCCAGCGTTTCTATCGCCTACGTCGCAGGCGATCGTAGACCGATAAATTCGGCCTTATCATTCTCCTTACCTTTTCTCACAAACACATACAGGCACTGAGCACAAATATATAAAATTCTGTTTAAGGAAAACTCACCCATGCAGACAAATATTTTCATAGAAAACGGTTAACAATCAAGTGGCCGCAGTGCCAAGACCCAACTGTTCACTTGAACGGACTGAGCAGTAGTGACGTACACAATTCTAGTCCCTAACTACCACCATGGAGTAAGGATGCGGAAAAGGTGTTGTATCATACATATTGACACTATACGCCAAGAAGGATCAATTTAGGGGTGATTTATATATGTTTCTCACATCTGGACTCCCCAATAACAAAAGAACTATATATCTACGGACGGACTATCTGAGATATAGATACACCAATTAGTATAGGGGTGTTCAGACTGTGGGCAAGTCTTTTGTGGTAAGGGAGTTGATGCTGTTATGTGACACCCCCTACCTGTGTTACTGATGTCTAACACTGGTACATGTGAACTCTTTTATCTCAAGGGTCAGCCTGGTGTCCAGCTCCTGGAGCGTTCTATTTACAGCACCAGGCACTGCTTCATGGAGTACCTCCGCAGCCAGTGAGTGTGTGTGTATGTATGTTCAGTCACTGTGATCACTCATGTGAAAATTGTACACTCATCTGAAAGTCACACACTTATTTGAAAGTCCAATACTCATGTGAAAATCACTCTCATGTTACAGTCACAGTCCCACACTCATGTGAAAATCATAAGGTAAAAAAACCTTTTCAATACCTTCAGGCGTATTGGATATATAAGGCTGGAACTTTATTGTTTAGACTCTTGGCACGTGATCTGGTCAGAATCATGCCGACCTCCTTTACTTCTCTTGACTTGACCTTGTAACCATTTAAGGCTGTGTTGACTTGGGAGACAAGGGTCATTAGTGAAACCTTGCCCTGATGGGAGAAGTGAAAAGTTCCCTAATGTGAGAAGTGAAAAGTTCCATAAATGAGAATGAATGTTGAATTAAGAATAGCACTTGGGACACTCCCATAAGTGCTCTGTCCCCATCTTCAGCAGCAAGCAAAGAGTTCCAGTGGTACTAGTAAATGTCTGATTCTATATCCATCTGGCCTTTTCCTTGAGTGTTGAGTAACTGCCAGATCTCCTGGCAACATCTCACAGCTCCATTCTCCTTAGACCGTAATGATCTCTTTGTGCCTCCACACTGATCACCCTCTCCCAAAGGGCCCTCATAACATCTAGTTTGTCATACATCAGTTCAAGACCAAGTGTTGCAGAACCAACCAGTCCATCTGCCTGCTCATTTCCAAACATACCGGCATGACCTAATGTGAAAATGGAAATGTTCCATCATGTGAGAAACTGTTAGTGAAACTTTCCCTAATATGAGAAGTGAAATTTTCCCTAATGTGAATTGAGATGTAAATATAACAAGTATGCCTGTGTCTGTATTGTGTGGCCTGACTAGTGACCTGACAGATTCACAGATTGAATTGTCTGTCTGCTCTGTAGGGGTCAGCTTCATTCACTGGACCATGGGATACTGACTGACTGGCACACCTGGCTGCAACAGGACGAGCATGTGCATGTGGACCTGATAGGTATGTAGTCTGTGTGTGGTCTGCAACAGATCTGAACCATACCTGTGGCTGTCTGGTTAATTTAGAACATCATCAAGTGCCTATGTAACTGGCTGCTTATCTGATGTCATTTATGACGTAGCTGTAAATAAAAATGTAGTGTTGGTTTGTCTCATGTCAGGTATGACAGCTATACAAATGAAGTGTTTCATGTCATTTGTGATACAGCTATATATAAACCCTTCTGTTAATTATTGTAATTAATGGCATCATTATTTTCTGCACAAGAAAATATTAACTTTAGTCATTTTTGTGTGCTCATCAGAATTGGATACCTATGTCTGTATGTCACTTAGAGGCCTGTCTTGTGTGTATTTCACTTATAGACCTGTTATATCTGCTTTTCAGTAACATACCTGTTGTGTCTGTATTTCACTTACAGACATGTTTTGTCCATGTATCTCTTAGAAATCTGTTGTGTCTATATTTTACTTAGAGACCTATTTTGTCTGTATTTCACTTAGAAACCTGTCTTGTCTGTATTTCACTGGTACGTCTGTCTTGTTTGTATTTTGCTGGTACACCTATCTTGTCTGTATTTCACTTAGAGACCTGCCTTGTTTGTGTTTCACCTATAGACCTGTTACGTCTGTATTTCGTTTACAAACCTTTTTTAAAAACTGAATTTCACTTATAGACTGGTTACATCTGCATTACATATGTGACTGTATTTCACTTAGAGACCTGCTTTGTCAGTATTTCACTGGTACACCTGTCTTCTCTGTATTTCACTTTCAGACCTGTCTTGTCAATATTTCATGGGTACACCTGTTTTCTCAGTTTATCCCTTGGAGACATATTACATCATTTCACTTAAAGAACTGTTTTGTCTGTATTTCACTTAGACACCTTTTTTTATCAGTATTTCACTGGTACACCTGTTGTGTCTGTGCGTGCATGTTTTTTCCCTACACTTGTTCACTTATCTTGTCCGCATTTCACATACAAAGACCTGTTTTGTCTGTATGTTACTTAAAGACCTGTTTTGTCTGTATGTTACTTAAAGAACTGTTTTTTTTTTCTGTATGTTACTTAAAGACCTGTTTTGTCTGTATGTTACTTAAAGTCCTGTTTTGTCTGTATGTTACTTATTGACCTGTTTTGTGTGTATGTTACTTAAAGACCTGTTTTGTCTGTATTTCAATAGTTTACCTGAGGGCAACACCAGAAGTCTGTGCACACAGGATGTGGCTTCGCAGCAGGGCTGAAGAATCAGACATCCCATTGGTAGGTGGAGATGATTCATGTGGTATGTGTGCCCCGACAAGCCTATCATGATGACAATCTGTGGTGGTTGGGGTATGTGAGGGTCATTCACTCATGTGAGAGTCATTCACTCATGTAAGAGTCATCCACTCTGTGAGATCCAGTCAGGTTAGAGTCATCCACTCGTGTGGGAGTCTTTCACTTGTGTGAGAGTTATCCACTCCTGTGAGAGTCATTCACTCCTGTGAGAGTCATCCACTCATGTGGGAGTCATTCACTCATGTGAGAGTCATCCACTCATGTGGGAGTCATCCACTCATGTGGGAGTCATCCACTCGTGTGAGAGTCATCCACTCGTGTGGGAGTCATTCACTCATGTGAGACTCATCCACTCATGTGAGAGTCATCCACACCTGTGAGAGTCACTCACTCCTGTGAGAGTCATCCACTCGTGTGGGAGTCATTCACTCGTGTGAGAGTCATTCACTCGTGTGAGAGTCATTCACTCATGTGAGAGTCATCCAATCATGTGAGAGTCATCCACACATGAAAGCCATCCAATCATGTGAGATCCACTCCTGTGAGAGTCATCCACTCGTGTGAGAGTCATCCACTCATGTGAGAGTCATCCACTCATGTCGGAGTCATCCACACATGAAAGCCATCCACTCATGTGAAAGTCATTCACACATGAAAGTCATCCACTCATGTGAGAGTCATCCACACATGAAAGCCATCCGCTCATGTGAGAGTCATTCAATCATGTGAGATTCATCCACTCATGTGAGAGTCATCCACACATGTGAGAGTCATCCACACATGTGAGAGTCATCCGCTCATGTGAGAGTCATCTACTCATGTGAGAGTCATTCAATCATGTGAGATTCATCCGCTCATGTGAGAGTCATCCACACATGTGAGAGTCATCCACTCATGTGAGAGTCATCCACTCATGTGAGAGTCATCCACACATGTAAGAGTCATTCAATCATGTGAGAGTCATTCAATCATGTGAAAGTCATTTACTCATGTGAAAGTCATCCACTCATGTAAGAATCATCCACTCATGTGAGAGTCATACACTCATGACTTATTCATTGTGCTGATTGTCCTATTACTATTATGTGTGTACCAAGACATGTCTGTGGTTGTTGGGGGTACACGACCCACAATAGACATGTCTGTGGTACTTGGGGGTACATGACCCACGATAGACATGTCTGTGGTACTTGGGGGTACATGACCCACGATAGACATGTCTGTGGTACTTGGGGGTACATGACCCACGATAGATATGTCTGTGGTACTTGGGGGTACATGACCCACGATAGACATGTTTGTGGTACTTGGGGGTACATGACCCACGATAGATATGTTCTGTGGTACTTGGGGGTACATGACCCATGACAGACATGTCTGTGGTACTTGGGATATGTGACCCATCACAGGTATGCCTATGGTGCTTGTGACCTGCCTACATATTTATCAAAAAATGGCATCAACAGACACAAACCTGGCACTGGTACTAGCTTTGTTGGTTACAAATGTCAGGTGTGTTGTTGTCGTCAGGTTTTCTGACTTCGTGTCGGCAATAAGGAACTGAAATATATTACAGCAGCTGGCCAAGCTCAGATCTGCCCTTGGATGCATGGACTTGAAAAGTCACCTTTAGGAGGTGCTGTTGGGAGCCTTCCTTCATGCGGCTGAGGCCATGCTGGTGATTCTCTCAATTTGCTGGTGATTCCCTCACTTCCTTCCCGAGACAGCCAGTGAGATGACCTGTCTGTGATGGTAGTCACGTTTTCCCACTTCTTGGTCATAGCAGGCCTGTCATCTTTTGTGTGCGTTGCAAAGAACGCATCACGTGTCATTTGTTCTTGTCAATACAACGCATCACATTTCATTTGCTCTTGTCCCTGCAATGCATCACATGTCATTTTCTCTTGTCCATACAGTGCATCACATGTCATTTGATCGTGTCCATACAACGCATCACATGTCATTTGATCTTGTCCATACAGTGCATCACGTGTCATTTGCTCTTGTCCATACAAAGCATCACATGTTATTTGCTCTTGTCCATACAACACATCAGATGTCATTTGTTCTTGTCCATACAGTGCATCACATGTCATTTGCTCTTGTCCATACAACACATCAGATGTCATTTGTTCTTGTTCATGACTGTCATTATGTTAGACCAGTGATGTGTAGGGGTCATGCTAGTCACTGTCTTGTCCATACAGTGCATCACGTGTCATTTGCTCTTGTCCATACAAAGCATCACATGTTATTTGCTCTTGTCCATACAACACATCAGATGTCATTTGTTCTTGTCCATACAGTGCATCACATGTCATTTGCTCTTGTCCATACAACACATCAGATGTCATTTGTTCTTGTTCATGACTGTCATTATGTTAGACCAGTGATGTGTAGGGGTCATGCTAGTCACTGTCGTTATGTTAGACCAGTGGTGTCTAGTCGTCCTGCTAGCCACTTTAATTACGTTAGACCAGTGATGCGTAGGAGTTCATGCTAGTCACTGTCGTTATTACTGTGTTTTTCACAGGAATATTTGAGGGCCTTGCATGAGCTGCATGATGACTGGCTGTTGCACAGGAAACGAGGAGAGTTGCCCGCCCCTGTGCTGGTCAGTCTTATGCTTGTTTTTGTGACCACTGACAGTAGTGAACACAGACAGACCACTGACAGTAGTGGACACAGACAGACCACTGACAGTAGTGAACACAAGACAGACCACTGACAGTAGTGGACACAGACAGACCACTGACAGTAGTGGACACAAAACAGACCACTGACAGTAGTGGACACAGACAGACCACTGACAGTAGTGGACACAGACAGACCACTGACAGTAGTTGACACAAGACAGACCACTGACAGTAGTGGACACAGACAGACCACTGACAGTAGTGAACACAAGACAGACCACTGACAGTAGTGGACACAGACAGACCACTGACAGTAGTGAACACAAGACAGACCACTGACAGTAGTGGACACAGACAGACCACTGACAGTAGTGAACACAAGACAGACCGCTGACAGTAGTGGACACAGACAGACCACTGACAGTAGTGGACACAGACAGACCACTGACAGTAGTGAACACAAGACAGACCACTGACAGTAGTGAACACAAGACAGACCACTGACAGTAGTGGACACAGACAGACCACTGACAGTAGTGGACACAGACAGACCACTGACAGTAGTGAACACAGACAGACCACTGACAGTAGTGGACACAGACAGACCACTGACAGTAGTGGACACAGACAGACCACTGACAGTAGTGAACACAAGACAGACCACTGACAGTAGTGAACACAAGACAGACCACTGACAGTAGTGAACACAAGACAGACCACTGACAGTAGTGGATACAGACAGACCACTGACAGTAGTGGACACAGACAGACCACTGACAGTAGTGGACACAGACAGACCACTGACAGTAGTGGACACAGACAGACCACTGACAGTAGTGGACACAGACAGACCACTGACAGTAGTGGACACAGACAGACCACTGACAGTAGTGAACACAGACAAACCACTGACAGTAGTGGACACAGTCAGACAGGTCACAGAAAGACAGGTCACTGAAAATATTGGACATACAAATAGGTCACTGGCAGTAGTGGACCACACAAACAGGTCACTGGCAGTAGTGGACCACATAAACAGGTCACTGGCAGTAATGGACCACACAAACAGGTCACTGGCAGTAGTGGACCACACAAACAGGTCACTGGCAGTAGTGGACCACACAAACAGGTTGCTAACAGTAGTGGAAAAGACAAACAGGTCACAGACAGACTGGTGACTGACAGTAGTTGACACAGACAGACTGGTGACTGACAGTAGTTGACACACACAAACAGGTCACTGACAGTAGTTGACACACACAAACAGGTCACTGACAGTAGTTGACACACACAAACAGGTTACTGGCAGAAGTGGGCACACACAAACAGGTCACTGACAGTAGTGGACACACACAAACAGGTCACTGGCAGTAGTGGACCTCATAAACAGGTCACTGACAGTAGTGGACACACACAAACAGGTCACTGACAGTAGTGGGCACACACAAACAGGTCACTGACAGTAGTGGACACACACAAACAGGTCACTAACAGTAGTGGACACAGACAGACAGGTCACTAACAGTAGTGGACACACACAAACAGGTCACTGACAGTAGTGGAAACAAACATGTCACATACAGACTGGTCACTGACACTAGTGGAGACAAACAGGTCACAGACAGGTCACTGACAGTAGTGGATACGGACAGACAGACCACTTATGTGGACCATTGTGCCTGTTGTTTTGTGGTCACTTGTGTGGACTGTTCTGGTGTGTAGTCTCTTCACTGTGCAGGAGCAGACCACACAAACAGGTCACTGGCAGTAGTGGACCACACAAACAGGTTGCTAACAGTAGTGGAAAAGACAAACAGGTCACAGACAGACTGGTGACTGACAGTAGTTGACACAGACAGACTGGTGACTGACAGTAGTTGACACACACAAACAGGTCACTGACAGTAGTTGACACACACAAACAGGTCACTGACAGTAGTTGACACACACAAACAGGTTACTGGCAGAAGTGGGCACACACAAACAGGTCACTGACAGTAGTGGACACACACAAACAGGTCACTGACAGTAGTGGACACACACAAACAGGTCACTGACAGTAGTGGGCACACACAAACAGGTCACTGACAGTAGTGGACACACACAAACAGGTCACTAACAGTAGTGGACACAGACAGACAGGTCACTAACAGTAGTGGACACACACAAACAGGTCACTGACAGTAGTGGAAACAAACATGTCACATACAGACTGGTCACTGACACTAGTGGAGACAAACAGGTCACAGACAGGTCACTGACAGTAGTGGATACGGACAGACAGACCACTTATGTGGACCATTGTGCCTGTTGTTTTGTGGTCACTTGTGTGGACTGTTCTGGTGTGTAGTCTCTTCACTGTGCAGGAGCAGACCACTTGTGTAGACAATCATACTTGTGAGAGATGGAGTCGGCTCTCTCACATCTTCTCTTGTAGCTGCATGTCACCTTACTGGACTGTGGTCACTGGCAAAATGCTGATAGAACTCCTCATTCTGTATTACCTTGCAGAACAGTGATATCTCTGTATTACCTTGCAGAACAGTGACATCTCTGAGTTACCTTGCAGAACAGTGACATCTCTGTATTACCTTGCAAAACAGTGACATCTGTGTATTACCTTGCAGAACAGTGAACAGTGACATCTCTTTATTACCTTGCAGAACAGTGACATCTCTGTGTTACCTTGCAGAACAGTGACATTCTGTATTATCTTGCAGAACAGTGACATCTCTGAGTTACCTTGCAGAACAGTGACATCTCTTTATTACCTTGCAGAACAGTGAACAGTGACATCTCTCTATTACCTTGCAGAAACAGTGACATCTCTCTATTACCTTGCAGAACAGTGACATCTCTCTATTACCTTGCAGAACAGTGACATCTCTCTATTACCTTGCAGAACGTTACCCAGAGGTCTCCAACTTTTTTTTTCTCCAGAAAACTTTCCCCCGATCTTTTTGAGTATAAGGCAAGACCCTATATGCCCCCTTTGAGTATATGGCAAGCCCCCCCCCCCCCCCCCCCCCCCACACCCCCCAACCTTGAGTATATGGCAAGCCCCCCCCCCCTCCCCCCAAAGTATATTGCAAGCTCCCCTCCTTTCATTAGGATAAGGCAGGAAAATATGTCCTTGGATTGTTGTTTTATAGGTTGTTGTTTTTTTAAACATTATTTTATTTACAATTAATTTTTCACAAAATGCTAGTAACCAGATGCACTTAATTTTGAAACTGTTTGATCCCCCCCCCCCCCCCTTTTTATTTTTTTATTTTTATTCATGTTGGAGACCACTGGTGTTACATGACACAGCTGTGGTTACTCTGTGTTAAGAGTTCTGTAATAATCCTGTATAGTGTTGTAGAAATGTTAAACTGTTTTGTAAGCGACCCAATGTTTTACTGTCTCCAGGTTCTAGACGCCAATAAAAATCTGCAAGACTTACAGAGAGACATTGATGCTGCCAGCCAAGACATTATACTTGGTCACCCCATGAGGTGATCTGAGTGAGAAAAACAGTTATCAAATATGTTCACACTATGAGGGTGATGTGATCAAAGATGTTATATATGTGGTCACCCTAAGAGGTGATCTGACTGAGAAAACATTCATCAAATATGCTCACACAATGAGGGTAATCTGATCAAAGATGTTAAATATGTGGTCACCACAAGAGGTGATCTGAGTGAGAAAACATTCATCAAATATGCTCACACTATGAGGGTAATCTGATCAAAGATGTTAAATATGTGGTCACCACAAGAGGTGATCTGAGTGAGAAAACATTCATCAAATATGCTCACACAATGAGGGTAATCTGATCAAAGATGTTAAATATGTGGTCACCACAAGAGGTGATCTGAGTGAGAAAACATTCATCAAATATGCTCACACTATGAGGGTAATCTGATCAAAGATGTTATATATGTGGTCACACCATGGGGTGATCTGATCGAATACATCATAAATGGTTACAGGTAGCTCTTCTATGAACATGTGCAGTGAGGTGCAGGCAAGTATAAAACAGAATGAACCTGACTAGTTAAGGAACGGGACACTGTACTGGCAGACAGACAGACTCACTCATGAGACATGCAGCAATCACGTACTGCAGAGACTTCTATAGTTGTGGAACATTATTTTATTTCTCAAATTTGGTGGTTTAAAAAAACACATTTCATCTAACTATTCCTGGACAGTTTTTTGTATAGAAATATGTTCCCTTCCCCCATTTGTTAGTTCCTGCAGATATTCGAGTGACTGCATGGTCGAAACTTGTTGACATAAACACAAGAGTTGTGTTTGTGATGTGCTCTTTCTGTTGGTAGCTGCTATGTTAAATCCTCATAATGCACTGTCTCTGTTTGTGGCTGCTCTATTACATCCTGGTGAGAGCTCTGAACTTTCTAAAAGCTTCTGCTGAGCTGCCAGCTTTCTGTGTAAAGAAAAGAGAACATATGGGTCTATTACATGGTTTACAATAGTGCTCTACTTTCACATGGTTTACAACAGTGCTGTATCCACTTTTACATGGTTTATGACAGTGCTGTATCCACTTTCACATGGTTTGTGGCAGTGCTGTATCCACATTAACATGGTTTAAAACAGTGCTCTATCTACATTCACATGGCTTACAACAGTGCTCTATCTTCTTTCACATGGTTTACAACAGTGCTTTTTCAAATTTTCACATGGCTTACAACAGTGCTCTGTCAACTTTTACAGTGTTTTTTTCTACTCTCATGTATCTGTGTAGGCTCTGTGGCTAAGTCGATGCGAACGCTTCGTAATGCCGGGATTCCAGGTTCGATCCCAGCTGCGGACTATGTGCCTTGCATTGGTTTTGACAGTGGTATCAAGAAAGCCGACCGTCCAGAAAGCAATGGCAAACTACTGGATCTAAATTTGTCTAGAAAAACCACACAACAGCTAGGGGCTGTTGGAGTTAGTTCTGTAAAGGATATGCAACTAACCATGTATCTGTTGTATAGTTTACAATATGTTCACATCTACTTCCTTTAAAAAATAAAGTAAAGGACCCTTTCCCACGCCTTTAGGCGTACAGGGCATATAGGGCTAGACATATATTTTTATTGACCAATCGGCACAAGATGGGATATGGTCAGCATCATGCTGGCCGCCTCTACTTCCTGGGACTAAACCCGGTACCCACTCAAGGCTGGGTTGACCTGGGAGCCAAGTTCATTTTTTTTTAAAAGTTTAGCGCCCCTAGGGGGTGAACAGACAACCTACCAATCCGCGGCAAGCGTCTATCCGCTCTGCCACAGCGACTGCTTTTACTTGCTCCCATTTGATATTTCACACTCTATTAACTAAATGTTTATACTGTGGACATGTGTGAAAGATGAGAGATTTGAAAAATGGCAGTGTGAGACAAGTCTGCTGGAGAACGAGGTTAGAAAGATTGGGAGGACATGGGGAGAGCTCCATGCAATGGCGAAGGATAGAACGACTTGGCGTGAGTTGGTTGAGGGCCTATGCTCCATTGGGGGATAGAAAGGCAGAAGAGAAGAGAGAGAGAGAGACAAGTCTGTAAGTTGATGGAAATAAAGTTTGTTGATTCTGCCTTAGTGCTTGTGTTGTCTTTCTCTGTGCCACTTGGGGCTTTGAGCCAAAGAAACATGTCTTTCTCTGTGCCACTTGGGTCTCTGAGCCAAAGAAACATGTCTTTCTCTGTGCCACTTGGGTCTCTGAGCCAAAGAAACGTGTCTTTCTCTGTGCCACTTGGGTCTCTGAGCCAAAGAAACATGTCTTTCTCGGTGCCACTTGGGTCTCTGAGCCAAAGAAACATGTCTTTCTCTGTGCCACTTGGGGCTTTGAGCCAAAGAAACATGTCTTTCTCTGTGCCACTTGGGGCTTTGAGCCAAAGAAACATGTCTTTCTCTGTGCCACTTGGGGCTTTGAGCCAAAGAAACATGTCTTTCTCTGTGCCACTTGGGGCTTTGAGCCAAAGAAACATGTCTTTCTCTGTGCCACTTGGGGCTTTGAGCCAAAGAAACATGTCTTTCTCTGTGCCACTTGGGGCTTTGAGCCAAAGAAACATGTCTTTCTCGGTGCCACTTGGGTCTCTGAGCCAAGGAAACATGTCTTTCTCGGTGCCACTTGGGGCTTTGAGCCAAAGAAACATGTCTTTCTCTGTGCCACTTGGGGCTTTGAGCCAAAGAAACATGTCTTTCTCTGTGCCACTTAGGGCTTTGAGCCACAGAAACATGTCTTTCTCTGTGCCACTTGGGGCTTTGAGCCAAAGAAACATGTCTTTCTCTGTGCCACTTGGGGCTTTGAGCCAAAGAAACATGTCTTTCTCTGTGCCACTTGGGGCTTTGAGCCAAAGAAACATGTCTTTCTCTGTGCCACTTGGGGCTTTGAGCCAAAGAAACATGTCTTTCTCTGTGCCACTTGGGGCTTTGAGCCAAAGAAACATGTCTTTCTCTGTGCCACTTGGGGCTTTGAGCCAAAGAAACATGTCTTTCTCTGTGCCACTTGGGGCTTTGAGCCAAAGAAACATGTTTTTCTCTGTGCCACTTGGGGCTTTGAGCCAAAGAAACATGTCTTTCTCGGTGCCACTTGGGTCTCTGAGCCAAAGAAACATGTCTTTCTCGGTGCCACTTGGGTCTCTGAGCCAAGGAACCAGAGGTATGTTACTCTGCTACACCACACAAACAGCACTGGCTAGCTTATGTTAAAACCGAGAGAAAGCTACAGCATTGGTAGAAAGTCCCTTTTCTGGAACCCACAGGGCAACAAATATAAAGAAAGACATTTTTTGGACAGATGAAAAATTGGGAAGACAACTGCTGGACAGTGAAAGAGACAAGAAAATGTTGTGGGTTCATTGAGGGTCTATGCTCCACTGGGAGCTGAAAGATGTAACAAATAGTGGTACAAAAAAAGTAATATCAAGACACATGATAACATCACATGGAAGATGTATCACAGAGGTGTAATGTATGTGTGTGTAGGAGCTCTGGTGTGATGTACGAGTAAGAACCACTGAATTGAGTTACAACAGATACACATACGACTGAGATAAATAATATGTGAAAATTCTCAAGCTGCAAACCTGAAGCAGCGCAAACACATGGAGGTGCAGACAACAGGTGTTTATTAACACTGTAACTTACTGTGTCGTGCTAGAACAAAGAGTCTGGCGCACACACTGGGGTGCCGACAACAGGAGTAACACACTGCGACTTACCACGTCTTGCTGAATCAGAGAGTCCGGCACACACAAGGAGTAGGAGACTCTACTGGACGACTGATCCACCACCTCCCGGAGACCCTCACAGCATCCAGCCTTAGCTGCACATACAACATTTAGCTCCTCCTTTCCGTTCTGGCCAATCACAAACTCGCTTTTCAGCCCCAGCCCACAGCAGCTGGCCACGCCCTCAGCTGTCTCTGACTGACCTTGAGAACGCCCCATTCTCGGGAAAGCCAGATAGCCCTGAAATGTGGGGAAAAGAACATGTATTTGATAAGCGCACCCATTATCTCTACTATAATACTCTGTGCTTCCATTACACTCATTGTTTCACGTTTTAAAATACATTTTACCAAGACATTTTTCCATATCACTTAAAAGCTTTTTTTTTGTTTTGTTTTGTAAACCATTTAAGAACTTTGTGTGTGTGTGTGTGTGTGTAAACTAGTAAGGAACTTGGTTTTTTTTTTTTTTTTTTGTAAACCACTAAAGAACTGTGGTTACTCATACATGCATAAGTTAAAAAGCAAAGTAAAAGACCCTCTTTCATGCCTTTAGGCATATATTGCTAGGGCTATTTTATAGACCAGTCATCAGTCGGTGAGTGATGGGGTCAGCATCAGGTCAACAGCCTTTCATTCCTAGCACTTCATCTGTTACCCACTGAAGGCTGGGTTGATCTGGGTGGCAATGTCAAATTTTTGTGGGGGGGGGTTGAACTCAAACCCACGACTGTTGGATCTGCAGGTTATGTCTAGCCATTACACCACATGCATAAGAGGCAGGTGTTAATTCAAAGTAACAGATTCCGGGTATGTAGGACAGTTGTAAAGTTATAGAACTGGGTGGGAAGGACAGTTGCAGTATAAAATAACAGATCTGAGTGTAGGCAGGACATTTTGGGTTTACCTGTATCATAATGGTCAAGCTGGCCTTACAGCTTATGTTGGGTGTTTTGTGTGTGCTGTTGCATAGGTTAATGGGTGTGTGTTGTTGCATAGGTTAATGGGTGTGTGTTGTTGCATAGGTTAATGGGTGTGTGTTGTTGCATAGGTTAATGGGTGTGTGTTGTTGCATAGATTAAGGGGTGTGTGTTGTTGCATAGGTTAATGGGTGTGTGTTGTTGCATAGGTTAATGTGTGTGTGTTGTTGCATAGGTTAATGGGTGTGTGTTGTTGCATAGGTTAATGGGTGTGTGTTGTTGCATAGGTTAATGGGTGTGTGTTGTTGCATAGGTTAATGGGTGTGTGTTGTTGCATAGGTTAATGGGTGTGTGTTGTTGCATAGGTTAAGGGGTGTGTGTTGTTGCATAGGTTAAGGGGTGTGTGTTGTTGCATAGGTTAAGGGGTGTGTGATGTTGCATAGGTTAAGGGGTGTGTGTTGTTGCATAGGTTAAGGGGTGTGTGTTGTTGCATAGGTTAAGGGGTGTGTGTTGTTGCATAGGTTAAGGGGTGTGTGTTGTTGCATAGGTTAAGGGATGTGTGTTGTTGCATAGGTTAATGGGTGTGTGTTCCCTGAACAATATGTTTAACACGGGGATGGTACTGCAAGACATGTTCAACAAGGGGACGGTACTGCAAAAATATGTCAAGGGGAAATTACTGAGGGACAACGGTATTAGAAAACTGGTTAGGGGTGTCTGGGGCAAAGAGGTCAGGCCGTTTTCCTTGCGCTCGGAAGGTCCTGACATGACGTACCTTATCTGAAGAAGGTGTTGGTCCTGAGTTTGTTTCATGGACTGTGTTGTTCTGTTCACGAATGTAACATTTTAAGAAGATCCCAGTAAGTGGTAATTCAAGTAGTCATCGTTAGTAGCAGTCTAACTGTCATTTGTAGTCAGGTAAATAGTCACAGTTATCAGTAAGATTAATAGTCACAATCAGCAGTAGGGCAAATAATCCCGTTTTCATTTATTGTGGGGAAAAGGGGGGGGGGGATAATAGACATGTTTTAGGAGCCAGGCAAAAAGACATCTTTAGTTATAAATAAAATATTTAGCAATACAGCAAATGGTCATCTTCAGTACTAAATCGAATAGTAACAATCAGCAGTGAGGCAAAAAGTCATGATTATTAGTAAAGGCAAATCTTAATGACTAGTAGTAAAGGCAAACTGCTATGATTAGTAATAAAGGCAAATTGTAATGACTAGTAGTAGAGGCAAACTGTCATGATTAGTAATAAAGGCAAATTGTAGTGATTAGTAGTAAAAGCAAATTGTAATGATTAGTAGTAGAGGCAAACTGCCATGATTAGTAGTAAAGGCAAATTTTAATGAATAGTAAGTAGTTGAGACAAACTGTCATGATTAGTAGTAAAGGCAAATTTTAATGATTGGTAGTAAAGGCAAATTGTAATGATTAGTAGTAGATGCAAACTGCCATGATTAGTAGTAAAGGCAAATTGTAATGGTTAGTATTAAAGGCAAATTGTTGTGATTAGTATTACAGGCAAATTGTAATGATTAGTAGTAAAGGCATATTGTCGTAATTAGTATTAAAAGGCAAACTGTCATGATTAGTAGTAAAAGCAAATTGTAATGATTAATAGTAAAGGCAAATTGTAATGATTAGTAGTAAAAGCAAATTGTAATGATTAGTATCAAAGGCAAACTGCCATGATTAGTAGTGAAGGCAAATTGTCATGATTAGTAGTACCAGGGGCCATAACTGGGGGGTTGGAGATAACACTGCGAGGGCAGTTAAATCCCCTAGGAGTTTAAATGAAACTGTTGGCAATTCAGTCCAGAGTGTGTTAAAGTCCCCAAAGTGTAAATAAAGCGATTCTCAAGCGACTTGAGGACTCTGTCACTGGAATGGCTAGATTTAATGGCTGTCACCTCCATGTTGAGGACACCTTGGTGATCCTGGGAATTGAAGTGCAACGGTACTGGTTTCAGGGCACCATTTTGCACATCCAAAAGATGTCTGAACCTGTCAGCCAGCCGTAGACCTGTTTCACCAATGTATTTTATGCCCCATCTCTTGCAGTTGATGGCATAAATGACATTGCGGCTGGTCCAATAGAATGCTTCACGTATGTGGAAGGTGGCGTGGCGTTCAGGAATTCTAACTAGTCACCTGGACCACATATGGACATGTTCTGCATACAGGTTTGTGGCAAGAGACAGTGCCAAAGTGGGACTCCGACACGGGACGTAACCGACTCTTGACTAGAATGTCCTAGAGGTTCCAGTCATGCCTGAAGGCCACTAGAAGAGGTTCAGAGACATCGCCTCATACATACAGTCAATCTCAACCATCATACAATGAGTCCCAAAATGAAGTCTGAGAAACTTAGCCTGAAAAAGCTGATTGGTCAAAATGAAGTCTGAGACACTTAGCCCGAAAAAGCTGATTGGTCAGAATAAAGTCTAAGACACTTAGCCCGAAAAAGCTGATTGGTCAAAATGAAGTCTGAGACACTTAGCCTGAAAAAGCTGATTGGTCAAAAAAAAATTCTTTGTAAATCACTTGACAAAAGTTCGTCAATGGCGGCAAAAATGTTGTTCTAAAAGAAATACTGTCTGAAGGCATTTGTCTGAAAGCAAACTGTGCATGCAGTTAATGAAGCAAATAATAAACCACAGCTAGAAGAAAAATCGATCAGGCTGCTTGCCCTTCTGGAAATACTGAAAGACGTGGAAAGTTCCCGCTTCCTGGGCATGATGAAATAACGGGGCAGTGATGGTGCAGGTTCTCGCTTCCTGGGCATGATGAAATAACGGGGCAGTTCTGCTGTAGCTTCTCGCTTTCTGGGCATGATGAAATTACTAGGCAGTTCATTTTTCGTCCTCGACTGCAAGGGAAACGAATGTTATTTCTATGAATTCCGCCAACAGATGACAGACGACAAAGTTCGGGGATGACAAGAATCCACATCTGAGCTTTGTAGATTGTGGGCGCCTGTCAGTCGTCTGCTCACCAAGTAGCCGGAAGTGGGTGAAATCAGCGGTACACTTGTGCTGACAATAAGCTAACTCACTTAAGCGGGATAGGCAAAGTGTGGAGAAAACATATAATTGTCTGGAAGAAGAAAATAAAATCTATACAAATGCAGGTTTAAGGAAATATACAGCGGATTCAACAACTACGTTGACAACAGATGCTAGGATAAATGGGGTTATTGCAAAGTGACAAACAAGCAAGATGGTGTTGGAGCAAGCTGTCCCCTCTAGCGGGAGCTCTCACCAGCATTGTTCCGAACATACACATATTTGCATAGGAGGAGGTATGTATTATAGTTTAATTTTAAAAATCCCATATATATATATATATATATATATATATATATATATATATATATATATATATATATATATATATATATATATATATATATATACACACACACCCTCCCATGTGTGTGTGTGTGTATATATATTATATATATATATATATATATATATATATATATATATATATATATAATTTTTTTAATTAAACTATAATACATACCTCCTCCTATGCAAATGACCTGGCCATTATTTGAAGTGTCTAGATTAAACATGTCTTTCATATGTTTCTCTCTCTCTCTCTCTCTCTCTCTCTCTCTCTCTCTCTCTCTCTCTCTCTCCTCTCTGACATGACAACAGATACATCACACAGTGTGTCCATGGCTGCTTGGCCTGGCCTCTCCATCCTGACGTCCCCGTCCCCAACCCCTGCTAAGATGGTCGGGATCCCCCAGAGACAGTGACGTAATCTATGACATAGAATCCACACGGGCAACTCACCGATCTGCCCATCCTAGGAAACGCCAGGTAGTTCTGCAATCAGAAGGCAAAAAAAAAATTATTGTCATGGAGTATGGCAATAACATACATATTCGATGTTTCATAGCCAAGGGCTATGAATGTCTGCATAACTGAGTTTATTTAAATACCACAAGTCTAGAGAATAAGATCGAAGACCTAGCTTTGTCAGACAAGGGCCACAAACCGGAAGTTCTAGGTCCTGCGTGCCAGCTGAACAAGTGAACTATCTTTTATACATTCCAACGTTGAACGGACTGATCTTTGAGCTATTCTAGATTAAAGGCATGCCTAACGAGTGAGTAGCAGTGTCCTCAACAAGAAAGATGAGTAAACGAGGAGAAAGAAGAAGAAGAAGAAAATAGCAGAAAAAAGAAGAAGAAGTGAAAGATAATTGTCATAATGAGAACGAGTAGGAGGAGAAGATGATAAAGAAGCCAAGATAACTGCCCTATACGTATACGACCGTT